GTTCTTTTCTTTCCATGACAAAACCTTTTGGTTGTGCCATGTAAATATTTTCCTCCAAGTCCCCATTGAGAAATGTCATCTTTACATCCATCTGATGTAATTCTAAATCGTAATGTGCCACTAATGCCATTATGATTCTGAAGGAATCCTTACATGAGACTGGAGAAAATGTCTCATTGTAATCAATCCCTTCTCTTTGCGTAAAGCCTTTTGCCACAAGTCGCGCTTTATATTTCTCTATATTCTCTTGAGAGTCAAGTTTTGTTTTGTAGACCCATTTACAGCCTACTATTTTGGCTCCTTTAGGAATTATTTCCAAGTCCCAAACTTTATTGGTATTCATAGATTTCATTTCATCTTCCATGGCCTCAAGCCACTTTGATGAATGATCACTTCTTATGGCTTCTTCAAATGAGGTGGGATCATCCTCCATTTGAAATTCCTCAATGTTGTATACTTCATAGTCAGCAGGAATAGCTAATTTTCTAACTCTTTGAGACCTTCTAGGGGCCTCCACATTTGGCACATCTTCTGTTTGAGGCTGTGGTTGCTCCCCCTCATGTGGGGCAATAGGTTCTACAGGATCCTGAAGAACAGGTTCATCATCGTCATTCATTGTTGCCATAGGCGGAATAACAATTGCTGGTACCACAGTATCTTACACTGTCGGTGCAGCGACAGCAGGTAGTGAGAAAAATGGCTCATGAATCATCGGAGTGGGCGCATACACCCACTTCTCTTCAAGGTCAATTTCTCGAGCTACCATGCTCCTCCTCATTATTTCATCCTCTAGGAAGACAGCGTGTCTCGTTTCCACAAACTTTGTATGTCTGTCTGGACAGTAGAAACAAAAACCTTTTGACTTTTCTGGGTAGCCAATGAAATGGCAACTTACTATTTTGGGATCTAGCTTCCCAATATTTGGGTTAAATACTTTAGCCTCAACAGGACTCCCCACCCACACGTAAGTGGTTTAGTGAGGGTAGTCTTCCTGTCTATAACTCATACGGTGTTTTGGGCACCGACTTACTTGCTACTCTATTGAGAATATGAATGGTGGTTTTTAACGCCTCCATCCATAGGCTTAATGGTAAGGTGGAGTAACTTATCATACTGCGCACCATATCCATCAGGGTATGATTGCGTCTTTCGGCTACTCTATTCTGTTGAGGTTCGCCCGGTGTAGAATACTGGGCTACTATGCCATTCTCCTATAAGAACCTTACAAAAGGTCCAGGAACTTGGTCATATGGGGTATGCCGACCATAGTACTTCCCCCCATGGTCAGACCTGACTATCTTAATCTTTAAATTGTGTTGGTTTTCAACTTCTGCCTTAAATATCATAAATTTATCCAATGCTTCTGTTCTTTCTTTGATTGGATAAATGTAGCCATAATGGGAGTAATCATTTGTGAATGTTATGAATGAATCATAACCATCCATACTCTTTATAGGAAATGGACCACAGATGTCTGTGTGAACAATCTGTAAAATTCCTGTGCTTCGTTTGACATCTTTCTTAATTTTCTTTACATACTTTTCTTTTATGCATTCTCTGCATTGTTCTAAATCTGAGAACTCTAATGGAGGAAGAATATCATTCTTAATTAGTCTTTCTATTCTCCCCCTCTAAATATGACCTAAACGACAATGCCATAATTTCGACAACGCATCGTGAGCTCTCTTTCGTTTTCTGTTTACATCCGCAGACGAGGATACATTCTCATTGTCGCACGCAATGTTCCCATCATCGCATACAACATTCACATCATCACATAGTGATAACAAATAAAGCTCATTTTGTAAGATAGCAATACCAACACATGCATTATTAAATGTTATCTTACATTTGCCATTTCCAAAATGGCAATCATATCCATCATTGTCCAAGCATGAAACACTAATCAAGTTTCTCTGTAGGGAGGGAACATAAAGTACACCTCTAAGTAAAAGTGTGAAACCATCAGCAAGCTCTAGAGAAAGATCGCCAACGGCTTCAACATCTACTCGGACTCCATTTGCAACTTTAACGTGTCTTTCTCTTCTTTGCGTAGTCCTCGTCGAACGGAATCCCTGTAAAGAATTAGCAACATGAACAGTTGCACCTGAGTCAATCCACCAAGTATATTTCGAATACTGTACATATAGGGATTCATTTATGAACGTAATAATGTTCTCACCTTTCTTTGCCATGATCATCTTTAAGTAATCGGGACAATCTTTTTTATAATATCTCGTCTTCTTGCAATAGAGACACTGGTCTTTCTCTACTGTGAACTTCTTCTGCTAAGGCTGATGCAGCATGGGACCCTTTCCTTTTGGCTTTGAGGAGGAGTTAGCATTGTTATTCTTTTTCTTGTTGTCTTTCACATAATTGATAGTGCCACCATTGGCAGCTTTCATTCTCTCCTCCTCTTGCACACACATAGCCATGAGCCTCTCTAAGTCCCATTTCTCGGGCTGTATGTTGTAATTGACAACAAAAGTGTCAAATTCCTTTGGTAAGGAAGCAAAAATCAGATGGATAAGAAACTCTTCCTTGAGAGCCAGATCCATTGGTTTTAGCTTGGATGCCAAATTGCTCATCCTTAGTATGTGCTCTCTAATGCCACCATTTTCAGAGTACCTCTCTGTCACCAGCTGCTTTATCAGCTGGTAGCATGTCTTTGAAGAGCTAGTGAACTAACTCTTTATTCTATCAAGGTACTCGGTGACCATGTCACACTCTGGGATTGAGCCCACAATTGCAGGCTCAATCATGTTTTTTATCATAACCAAACATTTCTTGTTGGCAGTGATTCACTTCCTACGCTCAAGGTCATCGGACATCTTTTGGGATGCAAAATCCCTCTCTCTTGTTGCCCAAACGGCATCAGCCTCGTTTGACTCCCTCACCGGTGCCACAGGCTCAGTGGGACACGGTGAGGTGACTACCCAGTCCACCTCAGCTAAGATGAAGGCCAGGTCAATCTTTTTCTTCTACTCCGTGTAGTTATCACCTTTGAGAGTGGGGATCTCTTTGATACAACCCATTAAGTTGTATCCGCCTGAAAACACAATTCATATAGAGTGAGAACATAAATAATAACAATAACAATTGCATGCCTTAGTTCCAACGTTGGTCAAAATTAAGACATACAATTGTCCTCTACACTAATTCTACATCACCGTTGGGCAAAAATAGAATTAATGCATGATAAAACATCATAATATTGCCATTAATCAACGTTGGTCAGAATAATAACAATATTATAATAAACTAAAACCATATCCATTTTTTCAAAATTAAATTCTCCCGTTGGTTCGAATTTAATAATGAAAATAACAACTTTAAATACGCAGTGGAAAAAAAATAATTTAATGAATTTTACCCACAGGAAAATTCTCTTTTCTATTTACTTTAAGCCATTTATCCATTTTCCAGTAAATAAATATTTACTGGAAAAAGAAAACCAAAAAAAGACTCATTTCTTTACCGTTCCTTCGGCCCGACCAAGAATTCGGCCCGACCCAGCTCCGCTGACGCGCACGCTGTGCCTCCCAGGCCGCAACCTGGGCCTGGGCCAGCAAAGCCGCCCGCCCGTGCTCTCCTGCCTGGGCCGGACGCCGGTCCGATCAACGCTGGCCGTTCATCCAGATCCGACGGCCACGCGCGCGTTTCGCTCGGAATAAAAACAACGCCGCGGCGCCCACGGGGAAACCCTAATTCATTCTCTATTGCTCTCTCTCTCTCTCTCTTCGCCTCACTCCGCTCTCTCCTCAGTGCAGCAGCCGAGCGAAACGCAAGCGATGAGCGGCAACCTTAGCGCCGTTGTCGCCCCCTCGCCGGCGTGCGCGCTCCCCAGCGGGTGAGCACGCCGCCGTCGAGCGGTCTAGGCGGCGGTGCCCTGATCCCCTCCAAAACCCTAGATCTGACCCTGATCTCTTCTCCTCCTCGTCTATCTCGATCCCACGACAGCACGAAGACGATGATGGCGCCGTCGCCGGTCCCTCTCGCCGGCGCGCGCGCTCCCCAGCGGGTGAGTGCGCCACCATCGAGCGGCCTGGCCGCGGCGCCATTTGCCCGAGCACCCGCCCGCGCGCCGACGAGGCAGCAGCACGGTGCGACGGCGAGGTAGGTCTCTTCCCCTTCCCCTTTTCTTTTTCTTTGATTTTCCTTTCTTCTTTTCTCGGATCTATCCGATTTAGGGTTGGGGATGGGGTTAGGATCGAGATTAGGGTTTTGTTAGGGTTAGGGTTTATTTCACTGTTCATCTTCCCCGATGGGTTAGTGTACGGTTGAGTCACTGTTCTTCCCCGACGGGTTAGGGTTCGTTTCCCGATTAGGGTTAGGGTTTCAATCCGAAAATGGATCGAACCCTCTGTTCTTTTCTCAGATCCAAACGGAACTAATCTGATAGGTTAGACCTTGAACAGGATCTATAGGCATAGAACTAGCGTGTCTACTTGCTGTTGAATAGAATCAAGAACCCTAAAACATCTACTAGTGTAGTAACAGTAGGTAGAACGAGAGAAAAAAGGGAGGGGTAGAAGATGGACGTGTCAAACCTAACACTGCAGAGGGAATCGATCCAGAGGTGTCGGACATCTCGTTCGTCGGTGAAGTCTGCACACGGGCAGCAACATTCAGGGAAGAGGTCAATGAAGTCGTCGACGTTGGTGGAGCAGGGCGGCGTGGCTGGTGGCTTCCCGTCACCGGCTGTGCTCCTCTAGATCAGATTAGAGTTTAGGTTTCGCTGGGGAGCTCGGCTCAGGCGAACCTCGTGACTTGAGCCGCCGTCCCCCACCTCTATTTATTGCGCAGTGTGACAGGGGCCCTCCAGCCATATTGGGCTGGGCGCCCTGATCAGGGCGCGAATCAAATGCTCCATAGGGTCGTTGGGCCCAGTTTGGGATTGGAGATCAATCTAACACCTACGGCTCGCCAGTGTTGTTCAGGTCGAAGCGGGTGCTCCGCCCGTCAGCGTCGTCGTCTGCCGTCGTGTCACTGCGGCGGCTCTACTGGAAGCCGAGGACGCGGCCATGGAACACCTCCAGGGTGAGGTCGACAAAGGGGGTGAGGCCAAGGTGGAAGCCATGGAGCCCCAGGTCGGCCTCGGCGTTGTGGGCGTCAATGTAGCAGAGATTGTCGCAGAACACCTCCAACCGCAGGAGGTCATCGTCGTTGCCGCGCAGCAGCCACGGCGGGTGCTTTGACTTCCACGCCTCGTACAGCTGCCGCACCTCCTCATCCACCCGCTCCCACGGCGCCGCCGAGTGGATGTTGCGGGCACAGTGGAGACGTCGACAGCGGCCAGTGCCACGACCAATGCCACCGCGAGCATTATGGCCGCCATCGCCGTGGGCACAGGGGAGCGTGCTGGATGCATGGGATGTAGGGCGCTCGAGAGCCGGACTGGTCTCAACTCTCAAGTCTCAAGACAAGTGCTATCATATGGTCGCGTGGGTCGGCTCGGTGCCTCAACTTGTGAAGCGAAAGGGTCAATTTATAGCCACGCGGGACGCCAAGTGGACCATCCGGGCCCACCCACGGCGCCAACCAGCAACCGTTGACGCGATTTGTAGAGATAAGCACCACTAGAGCTACGAGTCTACGCCGATGCTTGTTTTGGCACGGTTTCTAGTTAGTTTTTCTAAGTAAAAATAAATTACACTATCATTTCCTAAAATACTAGACAATTCTTATCTAGATCCCCAAATTATGAAATTGCATATCTAGGTCCTCAACTATTTAAGTATGTCATCTAGGTCCAAAACAGCCACGTCATGGTCCATTAATTAACGTGACGCTCGCATGAAATTGACATGTGGGTCCATAGCTTATAATTACAGGGACGGTGCCTAAACTATCATGCGATCCTCACATAGGTCCTAAACTATAAAATTACCCATCTCGGTCCCTAATCTGCCAATATAGTTGGATCAAGGGACGCGCCAGGGCAGGCATTGTTGTCAAGTGTGTGCTAAAACACCTCGCTCACTCATTGTGAATTGGTGACATGGAACAACCGGTCAGCAACAACTTCGCGGGTATGTTGGCCAGTTGTTCCATGTCACCGTAGCGAGTGATGTATGTGTCTTACCACACACTTGACGACAGTGCATGTCAGTATGTCGCCCAGTCCAACCATATTGGCAGATGGCATCAATACATTTCTCTCCATGATAAGATGAAAAGCAGACAATAAGAAGTTCAATGGCAAGCAAAGGCTCAGAAACCTGTCTGGCAATTCACACGACCATGAATGAAGCGTGAAGAGGTTTCTTTAGACAAGGACTACATTAGTTTAATAGATTATCAGGGACCAAAATGAGTAATTTTATAGTTTGGGACCTAGGTGATAATCACATGATAGTTTACACCATCCCTATAATTATGAGTTATGGACCCACATGTAGATTCCACGTTGGAGCGCCATGTGAGCTAACGGATTGTGGCATGGCTGTTTTACACAAAGCCTTACTAACATCTTATTTACATCCGTACACATCCCACGTGGGATAAAAGGTGCAAAGTCTAAACTTGATATTCCACAATCAACACCAGCGTCAACTAGTGTATCAGGCTATCAATAGCAAGAGGGAATCCATATATGATGTGGATGGCCTGCATATCTACGCTAGGACCACATATGTAGTTCCAGCACAGATCGACTGTGCGGTCCTGTTCGCCCTAGGGCGATTCTTGCTCGGGTACTACGTATCCATGGTGATGCCGCACTTGCTCCACGAGTTCTTCATGATCCAGTAGTCCTTGCTGTTCTCGCTATAGTATAGCCCACCGCTGTGACGCCGTGGTCTAGCTTCATCCCGCATACGTCGTCGAAGACACCCTGTTGTGTGTGTGTGTGTGTGTGTGTGTGTGTGTGTGTGTGTGTGTGTGTGAGCGTAAGTGTGGGGGTAGGGGCAAAGTTCTTCGGTTGTTTTGAATGAGATTCGAAAAATGCATTTTTTAAAATAAATGGCCCAGATCAATAATTTTATAGTTTATCACCTATATAAGAATCACATGATAGTTTAGACGGTTCCTATAATTATGAGCTATGGACCAACATGTTGGTTTCACACTGGATTGCCACGTCGGCTAATGAACTGTGACGTGGCTATTTTGCACCCGGATGACATATTTAAGTAGTTTAGGAACCTAATCTGCAATTTCATGGTTTGAGGACCTGGATGAGAATCGTGTAATACTTTAGGGACCACCGGTGTAATTTACTCTTAATTTTGGTTGCAATAGAGAAAAGACAGGGATCTACGTCAAACTTAAAGAATATTTATATAGAAGATATAACTGGATAACTGAGAAGCGGATGATGTTGTTTTGCTTCTTCTGGAATTTGACATAGCCTAATTGTTTTGACCCCGGCTTCTGCTACATTTTGTTTAAGTGAAGTACCGTCATTGTCGTAGTTGTATAAAATTGTGATTATATATATAGGAGCTGACTTTGTGCAAAAACAAAAGGTGGCCAAATGATGAAAGCATATATAATAGTGAATTTAAGCCTTTTTGCTTTTAGAAATCAAACATCTTCGATTGGATGGAACCGGATTGCAAGATATGTTAATGGGATCGGTGATGTAATCTTCAACTTTTGTATTATGCATTTGCATGTTTGCTTATTGGAGATGATTAAGGATGCGAGGCGATCAACCAGCCAGTATCGCATTCCTTCTAAGACGTGCATATAGCCAAAATCTCTAGAAGCCCTGTTCGTTTCGCTGAAATTTGGCTTATGCTATTGTTTATGCTGATTTGTTGTGAGAGAAAAACAATATTCGTTTGCTGAAAAGTACTGCTGAAGTAGCATAAGCAACAGCATCCACTATTGATGTGTCTCAACATGCAAACTGCCCACTTTAGCAATGCACTATCACATGCAATTAAAATCCACTAGCACATGCAATTGTGATATCCACATCAGCAAGACACACAAAGCATTTTGTTGTCTATGTCAACATGCCACGCAATGCACTAGCATTAATATATAATAGTTTATTTCTTCGTATAAATAATTATATATAGTCTAATTTTATTCTAAATTATCCACAATTTATGCAGCAACGAGCAGACTATGCTTCTAGTTTGTTATATATATATATGGATATACATCGATAATAAAATCTCTAATTTATGGAATTCCTTGAACAGTTGAACCTCAGAAGCAATCCAAACCATCTCATTTAATTCCAACTTCACTCTTGAACGCCAGCCAGCAATCCAGCATCAATCTACATCGATCCAAAGTTTTGTTGCTTGTTTGCGACTGCATGAATGAGAAGTGTACGCCCACTCCATTGCAAAAATATTAAGTGTATTTTAGTTTTATCATATATCATATTTATAACAGATTTGTTCTAACTTTGACAGAGTCTATTAAAAAAATACTGGCGTGCACTATGTCAAATAAATGCACTATTGAGATATATTTCGTAGTGATTTAATGAAACTAATTTGGTGGTGTCCAAGACTCCAAGTTGATGGATTTTTTAAGTTAAAGTTAAACAAAATTTAAGTTAAAACACCTTACACTTTTTTGAAGGAGTGGAGTAGGCGAGTACTCACGTGCATGCGTGATCCGAACATTGTTTGGGTTCAGTCGATCCAGCGGCGGTGCATGCCGGTTGGCTTCAAGTCTGACGGCGATTTGTCCACCTCTTCTGACCCAGTGTTGTTCTGTTGGAGAAGCTACCCGAGAGGAGACCATCTCTCCGCAGTCCGCACCGCAGATGTGAGCTAGTTCAGCGAGGGCAGGGCGTCATGGGCTCATGGCTGATTGGTTGCATTCACATTATTTTTTTTTGTCGGTGCATCATACACACAATCTAATGTAATTGGAAACAGTCGTGGAAGGTGGAACTGACAAAAATTGTTTAGTTGTACTCTCTGGCTAGGCAGAGCAGAGCAGAGTTTCCTTTTGGTTGTCTTATGAGAGGGCTGAATGCATTTCAGAACTGTTAAAGCTTTTTTGTTTTTGTTTTGTGTTTATTTTTTCTTCATTTCACAACAACAAGATGCGAGCTTAATATATTTCCATAAAAGGCAAGTACTAACATGGAGTATTACCTATTTTTTTCCTGATTTTGGATTTATCCACAGTATGCATTAAAAAATTAGAAGGAAAAAACAGCGCATAAAAAGTCCTCAATGTTCCATCTTAAATTTCTGGATGCCTATGATAGTCTGTAGAATTTTTCACAATTTTGGTCATTTGAAACGGTACGGAAATAACGATTTAACAAACTAAATCACCCTAATAGATAACAAAACACAAAGAATCATCCATGATCCATATCACTATACCAGCATTACGGTGCACCTTTGGTAATAACCTATAGTTCCATACCATGAGACTAATTTAACAAGGAAAAAGTCTAATTTACATCCATCAACTATAGTAGTAGTCGATTTTGCTTCTGCACAACAAAACCAGTTTTTTTTACTCTCCTCAACTTTTAAAACCGTTTGTTTTTGCACCTTGAGTGGTTTTGCTAATGTGCTATCACGTCACACTACCGGATTCAGCTTCTTTGTCGAGTGCCTCAGGCACTCGGCAAAGGTCGATATACACTCGGCAAAGACTTTGCCGAGTGTTACACTCGGCAAAGGGCGCTCGGTAAACAGTTTATCGGCAAAGACCCTTTTTGTCGAGTGCACTTTGTCGGGCACTCGGCAAAGCCTTTGCCGAGTGCTAATCTAACACTCGGCAAAGAAAAGTCGCCATGACGGCGAGTGCCACCGTGACGGCGGCTTTGCTGAGTGTCAAGGTCAAGCACTCGGCAAAGGTCTCCGCTTTGCCGAGCGTCGTTGGCAAAAAACACTCGGCAAAGGTGGCCACTGTGCCGAGTGCCACGGGCCACGCACTCGGCAAAGGGCGCCTGTTTGCCGAGTGTCCTGTCAAGACACTCGGCAAACAGGCGCTCTTTGCCGAGTTCCTGGACCGTGGCACTCGGCAAATCTGTGATGTTTGCCGAGTGCAATGACCTTTGCACTCGGCAAAGCATGTTCCCAGGTAGTCACTTTGCCAAGTGTCATGGCCACTGCACTCGGCAAAGTGACTGAAAACAACCTTTTTTATTTGTTTTTTACATCCCATCCAAACAAACAGAAGATATATATAACAAACATCACATATATATATCATCAACAACACATATATATCACCAACACCACATATATATCACAAACATCACATGTCTCACAATATATCACAAATAAGTTCACAAGTAATCCAAGTGCTCCATCATCTACAACCACAATTGCAAATAGAAGTACCATTAATAACCACAAGTATCATCACCAAGATGGCCAATGAGACTAATTTGGTGAAGGA